TCCTCCTCCTCCTCCTCCTCCTCCTCCTCCTCCCCGCCCCTTTCTCCTTCTCCTCCCCTTCTCCTTCCTCCCCTCTGCAAACCCCACTCCCTTCTAGCACTGATGATATTACGTAGTTGGGTCATGAAATGTCTATAAGAAAACAACCAAGGCCAAGGAGCACCAAGGACCCCATAGTCCTTTTCCTCTTCCTCCTCCTCTTCTCCCCCCCTCTTTCTCCCCCTCCTCTTCCTCATCTCCTTCCTCCACTCCACAAACCCCATCCCCTTCTACCACTGATGAAGTTACCAATTTGGGTCATGAAATGTCTGCATAAAAATTACCAAGTTCAGAGAGCCGAGTTTTATATCTGTGTGGCTGCAAAACAAAACTAAAATTGGGGAAATCATCACCAATAATATCGGGGCAGGTTGGGTGGGATCAACAGCCGGAATATTTCGGGCCTGTTCTGTGTTTCGCTTGGAGATACTTACTTGATGGGTGGGAAGCTGGTTACACTCAGCGGGTGCCCGGAGGTCTGAAGGGTGGTCTGAGGCTGCGGGCATCTCAGGAGGCTTCGTCTCCTTTGACCTTTGAGTTGATGTGAAACACGGCCCGTCCCAATCAAAACCGTTGCGGCTCCCATCCAGGTCACTGTTATATCATCATCATCAAGAGCAATTTATGATTATTAACAGTGGGGCAAATTTGTTTCCAAAGAAAATGCGGCATATGCTAGGCTGCATTGATGGTCATCCGAATGGCACCTGGACCATACAAAGTGCAGATGACCAGAACCTGTTTAAGGCAGGGAGTGTTCAACCTTGGCAACTTGAAGGCCTTTTGGACTTCAACTCCCAGAATTCCCCAGCCAGCACAGAATAGAATTCTGGGAGTTGAAGTCCACAAATGGTCCAAGTTGCTAAGGTTGGACACCCCTGGTTTAAGGTAATGGCTAGGTGTAATACCCCTAAGGATATTTTGAAAAGTAACCTGGTTTGCTCAAATTAATACAGGTAGTCCTTGACTTACAACGGTTCAATTGTTACTCACTTAACAACTGCACTGATTCCCTAAATAACTGTGTCAAAAAATATCTTGTAAAATGGAGCAAAGCTCCAGGTCTCCCTTAACCACAGAAATTTTGGGGCTTAGTTGGGATGATATGTGTCATTATGGGTGGTCCTCGGCTTACGGCGGCAATGGGAGACCAGATTCTGCAGCTTTTTCTCCCTTTCTCCCTCAGATCTTAAAGGCATTTTAATTTTACAGGTTTCAAAAAGAGCAAAACTCAAGACACTGTTTACAAATTCCCCAGCAAGACCGACAAGGCAGAACCGCATTCCGTATGACGGCACATGGCCTTGAAAGTGGCTGAGAGCCGATCGATGCTGGTCAGACTAGTTTTAACTGTGATCTATGTGTTTTTCCTCCCAAAAGAAGACCATTAAATCCCCTCCAGGTATTCACAACCTAACAAACAACACCCCGACTCAGGACTATTTAACGTCCATTCAAAGTTACAACGATGCGGGGAAAAAGCAAAGATAGAGGGACTTAACATTGGTCCCCGTGTTTACAGCCAATGCACCTTCGTCTTTAAAACCTTCAAAGGCTTGGCAACTGGCGTGTACTTAGGACGGCTGCAGTTTGCCAGGGTCATGTGATTCCCTACTTGAAACCTTCCCAGCTGGCTCGCCACACGTAATGGGAGGGTGGAGGCAGTTTCGCTTAACAACCAACATAACTCACTCAATCCTGCAGTGATTTGGCTTAACCGACAGCAACACAAGTGTGATGAACCAAAGGGGCGTGGCACAAAGGCAACACAGTCAGGTAAGCGAGGAGAGTCCCTTTATTATCTCCAACTTTGCCCGCAATGTCCAGTTACCTTCGGCTGGAGAAAAAAACTCTCCCAAGAACAGCCTTTAACTGGAGAAAATTCAGTCCAAAACAAGGTACACACAAACTGTAACTAAAAATCCAAACAAACCACGCGGCAGTAATTAACTTGACAGAGCAGGAGAAGGAATTTTGACTTGAAAGCACAGCAAAACTCACACAGTTGAGAAGATGCCAGGAACACAGATAAGCCTCAACGATACCAGATAAATTCACGATTTGCTCCCAACAGATTGCTGCGTGCAGCTTCCTTTTTTAAACACTGTGTTCCCAGCTGCAGCTAATGAAGGGAATCAGGGCCCTTTCCTCCCCTGTAAGCCATGCAACTCACGTTGCTCCCTTCTCCGTTCCTCCCTGCGTGCCTTAGGATGAAGAGGGGGTGGGCCTGGATCTTTTTCTGAATTCCCTCTCCCTTGTTCTACCTCTCCCCTGCTCTGGCCAGCCGGACTATGCCTTTCCCCAGTTTCTTCCACAGCCAATTCCCACTCCCTGTCAGCTGTTTGGCCTCCCCCTCCAAATCAGATTCCAACAGGGGCATGACAGCAAGTTGTAATATTTAGCATGGCTCACTTAACAGTTGCCTTGCTTAGCAAAGGAAGTTCAGGCCCCAGCCGTTGTCGTAAATCAAGGACTACCTGTATACACAGATCCACGTATTAAACACATCAAATACAGGTGAACGTCAAATGCTTAGCCGAAATACTGAACCTTTGCAACTCGGGAGCCTCCGGGGGCCTCGGGGATGACTCCCCGGCCCATAAGCCACCGCCGTCTTTCTCCACCAGCTTGAGCCTCTCAGCCCACTCCTGCTTGGAATGGTAGAGGCTGAGTTTACGGGCGGCACTGCAGGCCGAGCAGCTCAATTCGCAGGGGTCGTCCCCCGGATGGGGAGGCACGCAGGGCCTTTGCCGAGGGGGGATTCTGCCCGGGTCTGCGGGGGCATCGTTGCAATCCCCGCTGGCTTTGTCGAAGGACCCGGCTGCCAGGCAGCCTGAGGTCGCTGCGCAGAAGTTGGCTTCAAACCAGTGTTTGTGTCTCGGTAAAGAGGTCAGCTCCGGCATCCGAACCGTTTCCCTGGATCTGGACATCCGGGGATTGTCGGGACGTGCGGCCAAGCGATCTCCCATCTCCCTGGTGCTCCTGGGGCTACTCAGCGCCCCTTCTTCCCGATGGAGGCATCTGGGATGGCGGAACGGCCCTTCGTGTACGTGCTCCGTCTGCTTCTCTCGCTGCCCGTTTTGGACCCAGCAAGGGTGGCCGGCCTTTTTCAAAGGGCAGCCGGGAAGGTGGACGAAATGCGTGGGGATTTGCCGGCTGGCTTCGTCGCGGAGGGAATCTTGGTCGCCGCTGTTCTCGAGATCCGACAAAACCATCGCTGGGCTGAAAACGGGAACAAGGAAGAACTTCATTGATCTTTAACTTTATGTAATACAGAAGAAATACCACCGATATATTTATTTATTGATTTATTTCTTATTTAGGAGATTTACATGGCCGCCTATTCGCTCAGGGCGACTCAAGGCAGCTTAACCATGATGGCAGGCATGGGATTCAATTTTTTTAACAACTGGTTCTGTGGGTGTGGCTTAGGTGGTGGGCGTGGCTTTGTGTTCATGTGACTGGGTGGGCGTGGCTTGGTGGTCATGTTATTGGCTGGGCGTGGCCAACTGAATATCACTCACATTGAGGCACACATCTCCTTGCCTGGCCTCTCGTGGCTGTGGGGATGCTGCAATAGTCATAAGTGTGAAAAATGGTCATAAGTCACTTTTTTCAGTGCCATTGTAATTTTGAATGGTCACTCCACACAAGCAAAGGACCAGCAAAGGAGGGGAAAAAAACTCCAGAGAGGTTTCTGAGACAGAAAGTCTAGTCCTGCCAGGAATGTAATCAGGGTTAACGGAGAGGCAGTTTCTGTAAGCAACACCAGAATGTTTCCTTCCTGCCTTCCTTACAGGATTAGCCCAGTAATTTCTTCTAACAACCGGTTCTCTGAACTGCTTAGACGCAGCAGAGCCGTTTTACCTCCCATCCTGAGATTCTGTCCTGCGTTTCTGTTGGGAAATTTCCAGGTGGAAATGCAGGAACTGGAGATCCTGTTGCTGTTTCAGGTAGATCTGCCAACGGAGGACGAAAAGAAGCCATCAGCCCTGGGAAGGTGGACATTTTTTTAATTTCGGGGACATTCAGCCTAAGAGACTTCCAAGGATGAAATCCCACTCTGTAAAGCCTGAGTAAGGCCACACCTAGAGTCCTGCATCCAGTTTTGGTCACCACACTATTAAAAAAAAGATGTTGAGGCTCTAGAAAGAGGGCAGAGAAGAGCAACCAGGATGATGAGGGGACTGGAGGCTAAAACATATGAAGAACTGGTTGCTGGAATTGGGTATGTCTGGTTTCATGAAAAGAAGGACCAGGGGAGACATGATAGCAGTCTTCCAATATTTCAGGGGCTGCCACAGAGAGGAGGAAGGGGTCAAGCTATTTTCTAAAGGCCAGACAAGGAACAATGGATGGAAAGTGAACAAGGAGAAATTCAACCTGGAAATAAGGAGAAACTTTCTGACAGGGAGAACCATCAACAGTTGCAGGAACTGGGCCTGGCTAGTCTAGTGAAGAGAAGGACCAGGGGAGACAGGATAGCAGTCTTCCAATATTTGAGGGGCTGCCACAGAGAGGAGGAAGGGGTCAAGCTATTTTCCAGGGCCAGAGAAGGAATAATGGGTGGAAACTGAACAAGGAGAGATTCAACCTGGAAATAAGGAGGAATTTTCTGACAATCAACCAGTGGAACAGAAGTTGCCCTCGGAAGTTGTGGGAGCTTCATCCCTGGAAGCTTTCAAGAAGAGTCTGGACTGCCATCTGTCAGAAATGGTGTAGGGCCTCCTCCCACGTGGGTGGGGGGTTGGACTAGATGACCAACAAGGTCCTTCCCAACTCTGATTATCTGTTATCTGTTAAAAAGGAATTTGCGAAGAATTCTACTTACAACCTCCAGAAAATATTTCTGGAAAAAAATGTAGCAGCTTTTTATTTTATTACTCTTACTTTACCTGAAGAAGCTGCTTTTACTTGACTTACAACAGTTTGTTTACTGACTGTTCCAAGTTACAACTGAAAAAAAGTGAATGTTTTTGACACTTATGCTGTTGTATCCCCCGTGGTCCCACGACGCCCAAAATTCAGGCACTTGGCCACTGACTCGTATTTATGACAAGTTTTGCAGTGTCCTGGTGTCACATGATCCTGTTTTGGGACCTTCTGACGAGCAAAGTCAACGGAAAAGCGGGATTCATAGAATAACAGAGTTGGAAGGGACCTTGGAAGTCATCTAGTCCAAACCCCCCCCCCCCCCCCCCCCGCTCGGGTAGGAAGAGTCTATTCCAAATATTAGCCTCTACCTAGGATTGAATTCACAGCCTCCTGATTGTGAGGTGAAAGCTCCAACTCTAGGCCACCAGAGCTGCACTCAACAACCTTGTTCCTAATTTAACAACTGCGGTGATCCACTTAACAAATGTGGCAAGAAAAGTAGTAAAACGAGGCAAGACTCACTTAACAAATGTCTTAGTGAATAACAGCTATTTTGCGCTCAGTTGTGGTCATAACTCAAGGATCATGCCATAGCTCATTTTTATTCTATTACTTTCCTTGCAAAAAGCTTCTTTTACTTTAGGACTTCCTCCGTTTCCCGAATGAAGCGGCCTCAAAACGAAACGACGCCGGAATTCTTTGCCCTTTCAAATCCCCTTTTTGTTCCCACGCTGCAAAAAGGAGGAGGTGCTCGCAGCCAGAAACCGGGAGTCCCACCTGTCTCAAATTGTTCAGCTCTGTGTCTGTCCGAAGCTGTTTCGACTTGGCGGAGAGAAGAAGCTGAACCTTTCGACTTTCCCTCTCGGCTGCGGGAAAAGAAAGGGGTGGAAGAATCGGTTAGTTTTCCAGAAGCCCCAAAGAGAAACCATAACATGCCTCACTGCAAGAGTGGCAAATATCCGTAGCTGGGGTGTAAAATGAGGGTGAAGGTTCTTGTGGATCGATTTCCGAACATTTCTGTGATGAGCTGGGATGTGGCACAAAGGCAACACAGTCAAATAAGCAATAAGAGAGTCCCCTTATTATCTCCAACTTTGCCCCCAATGTCCAGTGACCTTCGGCTGGAGAAAAAACTCTCCCAGGAACAGCCTTTAAGTGGAGGAAATTCAGTCCGAAAACAAAGTACATACAAACTGTAAGTAAAAATCCATCTAAACCAAGCCGCAGTAATTAACTTGACAGGGTAGGAGAAGGAATTGGAGACTTGAAAAGCCAGCAAAACTCACACAGTTGGGAAGACGCCAGGAACCCAGGTAAGCCTCGACAATACCAGATAATTCACGATTTGCTCTCGTTTGCTGCGCGCCGCTTCCCTTTTTAAAGACTGTGTTCCCAGCTGCAGCTAATGAAGGGAATCAGGGCCCTTTCCTCCCCCGTAAGCCATGCAACTCACATTGCTCCCTTCTCCGTTCCTCCCTGCATGCCCTAGGATGAAGAGCGGGTGGGCCTGGGTCTTGCTCTAAACTTGCTCTACCTCTCCCCTGCTCTGCCCAGCCGGACTGTGCCCTTCCCCAGCTTCCTCCAAAGCCTCCTCCATAGCCAATGGAGCCACACTCCCACTCCCTGTCAGCTGCTCGGCCTCCCCCTCCGAATCAGATCCCAACAGGGGCATGACAATTTTGTTAGCAGACTATATAACATCTTCAGCGCAGTTTAAGGGATGTGAGGGGTCCATTTAGAACTCAAGACTCAGTAACCCTTCAGACTTACTCACCGGTAAGCATTAATTCATTACTTAAATAAACATTTTCTTGCTTGAGCTGTATAATTTCTTCCCTCTGGGCACTGTTTTCTTTGATTTTTTCACTGAGATCCCCTTAAAAAATAAAAGAAAAGAAAAGAGCAAACCAATTTCTCTCTTCGCATTTTCTTATACAATCACTTGCCGTTCAATCACCTTGGCAGCTTTAAGACTTGTGGATTTACTTTATCTCCCAGAATTCCCCAGCCAGCAGGACTGGTTGGGGAATTCCGGGAGTTGAAGTCCACAAGTCTTAAACAAGTTGCCAAGACTGGACATCCCTGCTCTAAATATAATTTACCTTTTAGTCTGTTTGCTTCTGACATCATTTCCTTCAGCCTGAGTTTAAAATTCTGCTTCTCCTCATTGAAACTCCATTCTTGCGTCTTGCATGCACACAAAGCACTTTCTAACTTTTTAAATTTGCTGGTAAACTCAGTGATCTGATTGGTTGCTTCAAGGATATCGTCATCCTACCGAAACCAAGAAATAAATGGAGGTTTAGAATTAGAAGAATTAAAATGAGAAGAACTTTATTGCCATTGCACAAGTACGACGAAACTGTGGAGGCACCCCAGCAACTATCCGCAATGCAATAAAACCAAAGCACTTAAAAATGAAGATAAGAAATTATTGCATGACTGCTGAAAAGCAAGAAACTTCTTTGAAAAAGGGGTTCATTAGAAAAGAGCTCAAAGGAGCTTCACTCCCCACGGTGGACTGGGGAATTCTGGGAGTTGAAGCCCAGCTTCAAGTTGCTCAGGTTGAGAAACACTGCTAGAAAGGATCACATGGATCTACTTTGGGGGCCCTTGACTTCCCAATGACAGGCAAACGTTTGCAGGACCCAAATGAAATACCTTGAGTCTTAAAAGCGTCAGAAGCTCTTGTTCCCTGGCTTGAAGCTGACCCACTTGGTTTGAGAGGTCCATCACGGAGCCAACCAAAGTTTGATTTTTCTCCTAAGAGAAAAAGAGACGAGAAGGACAGATTCTAGCAGGGTTTTCTCCCAGCTGACCTGTCCCGTCACATGAATACAATAAAGGCACTCTGGGCTTTGCAGATGTCTTTTCTCTCTGATTTACAGGACTCCCCCAAAAACCGGACAGCCCACTCAATCCCAAAGGACAAAGCAACCAATTTTATTTTCAAAGGAACTCACATTACAAATTTGCAACGCTGCAAATACAGCAGCAAGCATCCCATTAAGGCCCTGCAAGAGAAAAGCAGATTTCCCCCCCAAAAAAAGTTTAAACAGCCCAACTTTTCTGGTGCTTCAAAAGGGATTAAAAAATGTGACGTTTTGCTTTTGGCGAGCGGGACGATAGCTCCCTTCTCTCTCTTTTTTTCCCTTCTTTGTTTACCTCCGGGTTTGTCCTTCCCTCAGCCACTTGATTATTCACCTTGTATTCCGGGTTTGAGAGTTTTGAACCCGTTTGCAAGCCGCCCAGCAGCCCTGAAGAGTTGGCAGCATATTGGTTGAAAGGGTAAAAAAAAAAAAAAAAAATTCAGCAGGGGGACAGTGGCTTTACCTCGAGGCTCTGACATTGCAGAGACGTGTCGGAGGCTTTGCGAGACAACTCCTGCAGCTTTTGCTGAGTGTTTTCCAGCGTCGAACTGCAGTCGTTCTGCAGGGACCCCAGGAGCTTCAATCTCTGGGTCAGGGTGGATACCATTTCATTTCTCTTATGTAGCTCATCTGGGGGGGATGAGGGTGTGGGATTAAAATCTTGTTAACAACGGTAAACTGACAATTTAATTCATTTCCCCCACCTCTCTGTGTCAGGACTCCAACAAATCCAGCCCCATTCAAATCGTAACTCTCTAGCTGCTTCTCTCAAAGAAAATAAAATTGATTTATTAGGCCATGCTGGTGATAGCTGGATGCAGCCGACACTAAAATACATAGTTCATTTCCCCCTTGACCCTGGTCTTCCTCCCACCCCCTGGATGTGTATTCTCCAATGGGACACATCCATAGCCAAGAGTCATCATTCATGCTCTCCAGTAATAATATTGCGCGCCAGAAGCTTCGGTCACTTAGAAATTATTTGAAGCATTTAAGAAATGCACTGCTTTCCACCACTCCCTTTTTCTGGCAGCTAAAAAGACCAATGGAGTATCTTTTTGGTTGACACTCTGTTTTAAAATCACGATTCGAAACTCTGCTGTACATAAATTATTATTTATTTATCAAATTAATATGCTCCCTGGGCTGTGGTTCTGGCAAGACAGAGCGGCTTTACATTAAGCCAGTCGGGAGCCTCCTATTCAATTTAGAATAAATATTGGAAATAAATATTTAAACATCGGAAAAAGAAAAGACAGAGAGAGAGAGAGAGAGAAAACATACAGTAATTCCTCAAAAGAACACCCACATCCTGGTTTCGCTGCCCACTTTCAGGCTGCTGTACCTGCCATATTTCTTTGTCCTTAAACCACACATTTTGAGAGGAGGGTTTGTTAAGGGAATCTCAGCGCAGCTTTGCTAGTTTCATTCCAGGTTTTCACATACAGAAGATTAAGAAAATACAGCTGCTCTACTACATACATACAGCCCCGTGTTGGAAGAGCATCCGATCACTGATTTAACACAGTACTGGTGATTACTATTGTTAGAGAATCTCTTGAAAGGATTCTACGCCTAAGGCAACATTCCAGGATTTCCATGGCGCAGAAGGAATCTCAACGGAGTGGCAAGCCAACATTTCTAGGACCACACAAGCCAACTGTTGAAATTCCTCCTTGCTGGCTGTTTAAAATGACAACAAGCAGCTCAGTATACGTGTGGGGTATAACCTGTTTCCCCCCACCCAAAAAAATGCACTTGTATTGAATGTCTTCCTTAGTGAATCAAATATTGTAGAACATTTTTCCTCCATCTGACCTTCTAGGTATGTGAAGTCAACAACCACATGGGTCAGAAACAATGTCTTGAAAGTGGCTTTTCCCCCCCTAGAAGGCTGGGGTAGAGCATAAACCCAGTATTATGGCTAAAATAACCATCATGTACCTGATGCTGTGACGGACTATTAGCCTAACATGTTAGTGTTTTTCAGAGAGAAACTTTTCACAAACTTGTTAGCCAACGCTGGGATTATATCCACTTGCAAGCCACAAAGGTGCTAACTCCAAACTCACCTTTCCTAGAAGCCCCCTGGTGTACCCAGGACTATGCAGGCGGAACCATCAAGCCTCAGTCTTACGATCTGTAAAATGGGACTGCCAAGGCCAGACAGGCTGAGCTCCTTTTAAAGGCCTAGGTTTTGTGAAACTCACTTTCCAACCTGCTGCTTCGTTCTTCCAGTGTGAGTATCCTCTGGCGATCATCCTCCCAAGCCAAAAACTGCCTCTGGTGCACAGCCACCATGTTGTTCAGCTCCTTATCGCGATCTTTAAGCTCTGCAAGTACCAGCTGGAGTTCCTTCTTCAGTTTCTGAACAATGTCGCTCTCCGATCTGGAGGCCAGGTTCTAACAAAGGGAGAAAAAGAGACTTTGGAAAGGAGTAATACAAAACACGCTTAACACAAAACACACTGAAAGAAAAGAGAGTAAAAAGTGCAAGGGATAAAAAGAGGAAATTCACTGTATAATGGACAGTAATACACCCAAACACACATCCAGACACGCAAAACACACATCCAGACACACAAAACACACATCCAGACACGCAAAACACACATCCAGACACACAATGATGATCTAGCAAACACCCCATTCCAATTCTCTAGGTCAGGGGTCTCCAACCTTGGCAACTTTTAAGATTTGTGGACTTCAACTCACAGAATTTCTCAGCCAGCTGTCCAACCTTGGCAACTTTAAGATTAGTGGACTTCAATTCCCAGAATTCCCCAGAATTCTGGGAATTGAAGTCCACTAATCTTAAAGCTGCCAAAGTTGGAGACCCCTGCTCTAGGTTAATCCTTGCATCATGAAAGGTAACCTGTAACTTCAGTGTCATTTTAATATTTCACATTTTCCTACCTGGAAGGGACTGGAAATACCCAACGAAGAATTCATCAGGTTTCTGAGATCAGAACTGGATCAAACAAGCCAACTTCATTTCAGATGTGGCACTGGTGGAAAGCAGAAATACTTTGTTATCCGGGTTGTTGTTTTCAAAATATATAGATTTTTTAAAATTTAGGATTGGTTATAATAGTAACTCTTAATACAAAACACGCTGAAAGAAAAGAGAGTAAAAAGTGCAAGGGATAAAAAGAGGAAATTCACTGTATAATGGACAGTAATACACCCAAACACACATCCAGACATGCAAAACACACATCCAGACACACAAACACACCCAGATACACAAACACACCCAGACACACAAACACACATCCAGACACGCAAAACACATGTCCAAACACACAAAACACACATCCAGACACACAAAACACACGTCCAAACACACAAAACACACGTCCAGACACACAAAACACACATTCAGACACACAAACATACATCCAGACACGTGAACCCATCTCTACACATAATAAATCCCTACATTTGTTGCATGATACACATTGATACACACTCAAATCCACATACACTGAACCCACTTCTACACAAGGAGAGACCAATTCTCAGGAAAAGACACAACTCTACATTACTTACATGCTACCTAGTCACTGATACACACAAACACACACACAAATACTCAGTGTGAACCCACATCTTCACACACAAAGACCCCCCCCCCCCCCGTGAAAAAGTCCCTCCACTACATTTGTGGCACCATACACTACGCCTGCCACACGCCCACGCATATCCCCACGCGGGTCAACCCGCGTGTACACAAGGGACACCACACACACACACTTCTACACTCGCGTTCCAGGACCCCAACACCGACTCCCAGACCCGCCGGCCCAACTCCCGTCCGCCGCCCGCCTCCCTCGGCCGGGCTCCCCATGGCTGCTCCTCCTCCTCCTTCGGGCGAGGCCAACCTGCCCGGCGCTCACCTGTCCGGCAGCAGCGCGAGGAAGGCGGGCTGGAGCGGACCGGAGGGAAGACCGCGGAGCCTCACGTCCGCGCCCGAGTCCAGCCTTCGGGAGTTCCCGGCGGGAGGGCGGTTGGAGGCCCCGGGAGGTGCGATTCTCGCCTGTCCCGTCGCGGGTGCCTTTCCCCCCCCCCCCTCGCCCCCCCCCCCCCCCGTCCCCCAAAGGAGCCGCCCCGCCCCCCCTTAGTGCCCCCCCCAAACACTCCCCCCGCCCGTCTCCGTCCCTTTCTTTTCCCCATCTCCAAAGGCAGGGGGTGATTTTGGATAGAAGATGGATGGGTGGGTGGCTTAGGTAGGTGGATGGATGGATGGATAGGTAGGTGGATGGATGGATGGACAGGTAGGTATAGGTAGGTAGGTGGATAGATAGGTGGATGGATGAATAGATAGGTAAGTGGATGGATGGATGGATAGGTAGGTAGGTGGATAGGTAGGTGGATGGATGAATAGGTAGGTGGGTGGATGGATGGATAGGTAGGTAGGTGGATGGATGAATAGATAGGTAAGTGGATGGATGGATGGATAGGTAGGTGGGTGGGTGGATGGACAGACAGACAGATGCTTTCTGGATCTCACTTCTTCATCAGTTGCACATCAGGTGCTTGTGAACCTTTTTTTTTTTCTTTTGCTGGTGAAATAAACCTTTTTGGCTCAGAGAGGAAAAGAGGTAGACACAAAAGTTTGCCCTCGGGATCTGAATTCCATCCATTTACTTGTGAGATCTTCTTTTTTCACAGGGTTTGGTTCGAAGATGGAAAATCTGCAAGCTTTCAGCTTGCACCAGAGCGTTAAGAGGGGACGTGGGGACGAGGTATTGGAAAAGAAAACCAAACTTGTTTTTATTTGAGGGGGTCCTTGGTGCTATGATGTTGCCTCGTTTGGGGTCATGAAACGTAAGAAAACCACCAAGCTTAGAGAGCACCAAGGACCCCACAGGCTTCCTCCTCTCTGCAAACCCCTCCTAGCACTGATGATGTTACCTAGTTTGGTAATGAAACGCCTGCAAGAAAACCACCAGCCTCAGAGAGCATGGAGGACCCCACAGTTCAACCCTGAGCTACAAATATTCTCCTTTATTGATCATTTTTAAGAACAGGTGGGAGTGTGGCCCATGCCTAGGAGCTTACGTTCACACGTTACGCCAGGCCTTCGCATAAATTTATTTGCTTTCAACGAAGCTGCCAACTCAAAGGAAACACACAGCAAAGAACAGTAACTTCTTTATTAGAGGAATTCTCTACTTCCAGCCGAAGGTGATACTCTCACTTCCCCCGTTTAAACTTTGGCAAAGAAATATCACAGACAAAAAATAAAAAAGCAGCAAATAGACCACAATTAAAAATGCTACCAGGGAAAACATGCCTCTCCAACACGTCTGTCCCGCTTGGACTCTCTTGGCTAGAGGTGGGTGTTTTGTCCCCCCCAAAAAAGGCAGGAACTGGTGGCTTTTCCAAAGGAATCTCACTTCTTTACTTCTCCTAGATCTTCAATGCTATCATCGTCCACCTGCAGCACAGAGTTCAAATATATTTATTACACCAGAAAAGGATCACATGGAAATGAATTGAATATTCTGACTCTGAAAGATTGTTTGTGTTGTGGTTAGCCGGCAGCAAGTGTGGACGGCTGAGGAGAGCGAGGACTCAGATGAGGGGCCAGGACCATTCGGGAGTGGACTGCTGCCTTCAGAGATTGTGGGGGCTGGCAGCAGCGATGAGGAGGTTCCTGAGGAGCCTGTGCCAAGTGCACGCGTGTGTGGGATTGCTCGCAGGAAAGAGCAGCTACAACAGCACGGGTGACTCTGGAGTAAGGCTGCAAGGTAATAAATTAACCTTCTTTGCAGAAGGCAAAGACGTTTTGAAACTCCAGCCTCGTGAACATTCCAGTATCCTGAGTTTATATTTGAAGATTCTTATTTTGCACATTATTTCTTGTCTGTTATCTTTTGGCAAGTCTCGCACAGTTTGGCAAGGCTTGTGCCCATCACAGCTAATTATTTTGGTTTCTGTTTCTTTTGCATTGTGTTTGATTAGTTGAAAAAGGGCGTGGGTCAGAACAGTTTGGGCGTGGGAAGGAGATCATTAAATTGCTTTTAATTCCAAGTTTTACCTAGGGGAGAGTCAATCAGTCAACAGATTATATATTCCCATGCCCAAGTAGTTTAACAAAATGCCCAACTGGTTTAACAAAAACTAGCTGAAGACATAGCATACGAGGAAAGCGGTATGGGGAAGGAAGAGAGACAAAACTAGCTTGACTCTAGCTTGGCTTTTTTCCCCTTTTCCCTGCCTCCCTCTCTTTCCTCCTATGCATGTCTCTCAAAACATAAGTCTGAGGGTTTCTAAGTCATTTCCCCTCTCCTACCCTCTGGTCTTTTATTATGGGATACTTAGGGGATACATTTTTTAAAAAAATCTATTGATATGGCTGCTTAATGGAATGCAATCGATCCATTTCAGCAAAGAATCAATCCTTGTACCAAATTAACATCACCCAATGTCAGTTTCTAATTCCCTGCCAGGATACCATGGATATTATTTTTATCTTTACAGCCCCACTGCAAAGTCTTAAATGCAAGGGAAAAATCCAACTTTTAATTAAAAAGCTCTTTCTAACAGAAAGCCAGTCAGATGAGGTTCTGGTGTATTTACCTCGGGCCATTTTTCCTGAATCACTTCGATGATGTCGTCTGTGAAATCTCCCTGAATAATTATTTCATCCTCCCCAGTGACAGAGGCACCGCAGGAAAATTTCTGAGCAAAGAACCTTTGGGCCTCCTTAAGATCTATTTCTGTTTGGAGAAGAGACAAAAGAAATAAAAGATCAAGACATACCAATACTTGGTTACTAGTTTCTAAGCCAGGTTTGTTTTTTTTTCAAAATTGGCAATTTTAAGACACATGCTGGCTGGGGAATTCTGGGAGTTGGAAGTCCACCCATCTTAACATTGCTAATTTTGAAAAAACTGTATTCTAAACCACCGTCTTTACACAGCAACAAGATTGTGAGCCATCCCAGAATCCCCGCTCAGACAGATATGAAAAAAAAGCCAAGTCAGGTTATAGAAGAAAAAGCTCTCTATTCTGAGCTTAAACCCCAAATTGTAGGCCCACAGTTCAAAGGGGACCTTCACATCATTTAGAATACAGATTTGCAGCTTCGAAAAACTGATCCTAACCTACCCTCCTTGGTAGCTTGCAAGATGCTCCAGAGATAATTTTTTTTTTCTTTCATACTAGCTGATCTCCACTGATTTGAGCCCAGAGACCTCTGCAAAAAAACCCCACGTGTTTCTGCTTCACTCACCAAAAGTCGCAAGCCCGCATACTCGTGTGACGTATTTTTTCTTCGCCCGGGGGATTTTTGCTATCGTCACTTTCTGAGGCACCGTTTTCTTCTTCTGTTTGATCTGACCCCTTCCTCCTGGGAGGCAGGCAGAAAAGGAAGGGGAATAAACAACCTTTTCGAAATCTAGTCTGAAGGATGCAAAAGGGATCTACTGCCTTTCTGATTCTCCTCCACTGTCTAGAAAGTCATCTCAAACCATCTTGAAAAGAGGGTTGGACTAGATGATCTCTTCTCACCATCCCAGCAACTGCTGAGCTTGCCTTGCCCAGACTGGGGTGCTCCAGATGTGTCTGGAGTTCTAATCCTGGACAATACAGTACCAGATTTAAAAAACTGACTTGTGCTTTAATAGGGTCTTAAGAAAAGAAAAAAAAGCTGTATCCAGCTAATAATTGCCTCTCTTTTGTTTTTTCTTTTCTTCCTCTTCACCGATTGTTCCTTGGCCTTCTCCAATGCCAGAATCTTGTTTAGGGCAGTTTTCTGAAATTCAAATGGACACAGTTATTAGAGATACTGCAGTCTTGCAAAAAGAGAAGACAATGGTTAAAGATTTTTTTTAATGGGGTTTTCTTTATGAGGCTCTCTTAAGATGGCCCTATTGAGAGTTATTTCCATTTAGCAAAGTAAGTTGATCTATTGGTATTTTTTCTTCTTCTTCTTCACAAAATGCAACTTCCTTTTTGCAACCCAGAAAATTCCCACTGGATTTAATGCAATGTTTTCCCAGACAAACGAGGATGAGATTAAGGAAGACATTTCATGCTCCAAAGGTCACAAAATGGATTTACCTACAGTAAGCTTTGCAAATTCATTTGGGAAATTCTTCTCTAGCCACTGCCTGCATTTTGCCATATCAGGCATGTATTCACAATACTGGAGGGAAAAAAACAGAGTAAAATTATTGGTGGAGAATGGCCAAATATATACAGCACAACATAACTCTTAAGGACTTGTATGTAAGAGGCGAGAAATCATTTTGGACAGACGCATATTATAGACCGTCTTTCCACACAGGGAAGGAAGAATCTGCTCCAATGATCCTTTTCTACAATAAAAGCTACTTTAGCCGTCTTCAGAGAGATCAATGCAACGGTGAACAGGTTGAGCTGGTATAATTCTAACCATTTTTTAACTTTTTAACTGATTTCCAGTTAAATCTTTATACAATTTAAATATTTTTGAAAGCTCTGTAGCATTTTCATTGCACTGCACAAACCAAGCAAAAAACTAAATTTAAAGCAACTCACCTCTGTTGGCAAGGAACAGACTGCGGAAGAAAACGGGAAAAAGTTTAAAGCAATGATAATGTTTTCCCGTGGAATCCAGCTTAAACATCTTATTTAAGATGGGCATCTCCAGCAAGTTTCTCAAAATGGAGCTGTCCTACAACACCCATTAGCCCCAACCAGCATGGCTGATAAAACAGAGACGTTGGAAGCTGTAATCAGATAATACCAGAAAACCCACAATATCCCACATTTAAGACCGGTCTTTCTAATTAGTGTGCTGATTCCTATCGTGAATTCTGTTTTCTTAGAAGAAGATTCCTATCGTTAAACTGTATTTTCTTAGTTATAGGACATCATTTTGCAGAATATGCTAACTTATATTGTATTAATTCCTCTCTTTTTTGCGAATGCCTATTTCCATTTTTAAAAACACACAGAAGATAAGTATTAAAGTGTTTCTCAACCTCAGCAACTTTAAAGATACGTGGACTTCAACTCTCAGAATTCCTCCTCAACTAGCTAAATTTGCTGAAGTTGAGAAATGCCACTCTAGATAAAAAGCGTTTTCAGCTACCCAAATAATCTTCAAGCAGCCTTAACTGGGATAAGTGGAAAGAAACCCACCGGCGGCTTATGAAGCTGCCCTTTTTCGCACCTACCTCCACAGTAGAGCACCCGAAGAGGATAGTCTACATCTGGTCTAGCGTTACATCTTTGGTCTCCCCGGCAGTCCAGGACCACAGGCTCCATCTCAACACAGCCAGGAAATGGAGACCTTCACTTCAACCGCCAAACCTAGAGAGAGGTGGTTAGCCTCCAAAGATCAGGCAGAAAACTTAAAAAGGGGCCTATGAATGAATTAGAATTAGGATAGTAGATTTGGAAGGGACCTTGGAGGTCTTCTAGTTCAACCCACAACTCAAGCAGAAGACCCTAAATCAGGGGTCTTCAAACTTGGCAACTTTAAGACTTGTGGACTTCAACTCCCAGAATTCCTCCTCAGGAAGAAGTTTGAAGACCCTTGTGATAGATGATAGGTAGGTAGGTAGGTAGGTACGGAGAGAGAGGTGATAGGTAAATAGGTAGGTAGGTAGGTACAGAGAGAGAAAGAAATGATAGATAGGTGATAGGTGATAGGTGATAGATCAGGGGTCTTCAAACTCAACAGCTTTAAGACTTGTGGACTTCAACTCCCAGAATTCCTCCTCCAGTCATGTTAGCTCAGGAATTCTGGGAGTTGGAAGTCTTAAACTTGCCAAGTTGGAAGACCCTTGTGATAGATGACAGATACATAGATAGATGATAGATTGATTGATAGGTAAATAGGTAGGTAGGTACAGAGAGAGATGATAGATAGATAGGTGATAGATCAGGGGTCTTTGAACTTGACAACTTTAAGACTTGTGGACTTCCAACTCCCAGAATTCCTCCTCCAGTCATGTTAGCTCAGGAATTTTGGGAGTTGAAGTCCACAAATCTTAAAGCTGTCAAGTTTGAAGACCCTTGTGATAGGTGATAGATAGATACATACA